GTCCTTGAGGAATCGCCACACTGTCTTCCACAATGGTTGAACTAATTTACACTCCCACCAACAGTGTAAAAGTGTTCCTATTTCTCCACATCCTCTCCAGCATCTGTTGTCTCAGATTTTTTAATGATCGCACTATCTTGATTACTGCAGATTTAGAGTAAGTCTTGAAACAGGTAAAGAAACTCTTCAACTTTAGTTTTGGTCAAGATTTGTTTGGCTTTTGCTTTTTTACATAGATTTTAGAATACATTTATCATTTTCTATTAAAAAAGGTGTTGAGGGTTTAACTTGGATTGTGTTGAATCTATAGATCAATTTCAGAAGAATGATATTGATTATGTCTACTCACATGATATGTATCTCCATTTATTTAGGCCTTGCCTAATTTCTTTCTTAATGTTTTATAGTTTTCATTTTAGAAGCCCTGCACTTTTTTTGTTATATTCCTAGTATTTTGCCTTCTGACACAATTGAAAATGAATTTGAAATTTCATTTGCCAGTCATTTGCTTTTTGTATATAAACATACAATTGATTTCCCTATATGGCACTTGTGTCCTGTGACCCTGATTAATTCACTCTTGAGTTCTAGTACTTGTTTTGTAGATTCTTGAGGATTTTATATATAAATAATCATGTATGGAGTCAATAAAGACTGTTTTACTTCTGTTTTTTCAACTTTGTACCTTTCATTTCTTTTTCCAATGCAGGAAATGGCTAGGGCCTTCAGCACATCTCAAATAGAAATCATGAGAATATATACCTTTGCTTTGTTCCTAATCATAGGGAGAACGTGTTCATTATGTCCTTATTAAGTATATTAGATGTAGTTTACTTTATCACACTGAGGATGTTCTCTTCCATTCCTACGTTTTTAGATATTCTTTTTTCAATCATGAAAAAGTGTGGAATTTTGTCAAATGCCTTTTCTACACTGGCTGAAATGATCTTACTGGTTTTCTCCTTTATTCTGTCTATATATTGAATTATACTCCTTGATTTTAAAATGTGAAACCAACTTTGTATTCTTAAATTAAATTTCAGTTGAGCTATTTGTTGAAGATTTTTATGCTGTGAAAGAAAAGTAAAATGGTATATGCCAGAAGATGGCCGAATAAGAACAGCTGGTCTGCAGCTCCTAGTGAGATAAACGCAGAAGGCGTGTGATTTCTGCATTTCCAACTGAGGTACCTGGCTCATCTCACTGGGACTGGTTAGAGAGTGGGTACAGCCCATGGAGGGCAAGCCGAAGCAGGGTGGGGCATCGTCTCACCCAGGAAGTGCAAGGAGTTGGGGAACTCCATCTCCTAGACAAGGGAAGCTGTGAGAGACTGTGCCGTGAGGAATGGTGCATTCCAGCTCAGAAACTATGCTTTTCCCAAGGTCGTCCTAACCCACAGACCAGGGGATTCCCTTGCGTGCTGATGCCACCAGGGCCTTGGGTTTTAGGCACAAAAGTGGGCGGCCATTTGGGCAGACACTGAGCTAGGTGCAGGAGGTTTTTTTTTCATACCCCAGTGGGGCCTGGAATGCCAGCAAGACAGAATTGTTCACTTCCTTGGAAAGAAGGCTTAAGCCAGAAAGCCAAGGGGTCTACCTCAGTGGATCCCACCTCCATGGGGACAGCAATCTGAAGTTGACCTGGGATGCTTGAACTTGGTGGGGGGAGGCGTGTCCACTATTACTGAGGCTTGAATAGGCTACTTTCCCCTCACAGTGAAACAAAGCTGCTAAGAAGTTTGAACTAAGCAGTGCCAACTGCAGCTCCGCAAAGCACCTGTAGCCAGACTGCCTCTCCAGATTCCTCCTCTCCAGGCAGGGTATCTCTGAAAGAAAGGCAGCAGCCCCT